TAGGTAAATGGACCGGCGGCCCACGCTCTCTGATCTCTGCAATTTCTAGGATTTGAAGTGGGAACTGCCTCCGAGGTCCCACAGACCCCAAGTTAGGGCTTCACCAAAGCACACGGGAGGGGTCGGAGAGGGGGCTTTCTCAAGAATCTGGGGAAAGTCGGCCAAGAATGAGTCCCCTAGAGCTGGCCTAACCCACCCTCTCGGATGCTTTGAAAAGCAGAGGAGGAAGGAGCCCGAACACTCGACCAGGAATCTTGTCTCGAGATGCCACACACACCCGCGCAGCCTCGACGAGCTGCAAAGCACTCAGCCGGCCCTCCAAGGAATGCCGCACGGTGCGTGACTCAAATACCTTCCCAGCGCCCCCGCTGCCGGCGCGCACTCGCCCGCGAAGCGACGGCCGCGAGATGATGAGCGGCGGGGCAGGGCCACGGCGTACCCCTCATTGACAACGGCAGCAGCTACAGATGCAATTCGTCCACAAACAGAAACATTGAACGAGATGCTTTCCGCGCGCACAGCCGCCCCGCACCAGCTTTTAGGAAAAGCAACGTTTCCGTTTCCTTCAAAAATCCAAATGAATAAATCTAAAGCATGTCTCCATTCTTACCACTCCAAACGGTCCTCGCCCGGGATTCCTCACGGCTCCCGGCAAGGTACAGGCTAGTAGCAAGTTTCCCTAGTTATCTCTGGGGCGGATGGGGTGGGGGAAAGGGCGTAGAAGCCAGACCGACCTGAGGTGGCGGTGACAGAGGTAGCGGCGGCGACAGGGGCTTCCCGGCGTCGGAGAAGCTGGCGCTCGGTGTGACCTCCGCGCGCCCCGGCGATAGGCGCTGCGCTCCAGGAGCACCCGGCGGCCGCCGGGGTGTGAGTAGTGCCAGGAGGTAGGGCAAGGGGAGCGGAGGAGGAGGAGGATCCCGGGAGGGGCGGCGAGCCCGGGGAACGCGCGGGGCCGCCCGGGACCGCTGCTGCCTGCGCGCGGACGCGTCTGGGCGGCTCGCCTTCGCCGAGTGCTGAGACTCCGCGCCGCGGGCTACTTAATAGAGGGCTGTTCCCAGCTCTCAGTTTACTCGGTTACGAAACGCCTGAGAAGGTGGACGGCTGCCACGGGGTGATGTATGCTCCTCCGGCGGTGAAGGAGGTCTACTTTTGGGAACGTGTGCATACTTCGAGCATTCCTGCAGCGTGAGGTGGCGATCGCCGTAGTAGCAGTGCCCCGCCGGGGGCGGGGACGAGGGAGGGAGCCGAGAGGGGGACAGCCGCAGCCGGGTTCACTGCCAAGGGAAGCCGCGTACGCCTCCGCTTGGGGCGGGCTGGGGAGCTCGGGTTTCCCTATCCCTGCGATTTTCCTTAATGAAAGTATTTTTCTAAACTAAGAGTGGGGGGGAGGGGTGACTCCTTTTCAGAGCTGCAAGGACGTGTAACCCACTCAGCCCCACTCCATCCTATCCCCACCCCACCCCCCACCCCCATCATCACCACCTCCACCTTCCTCCCCCTCCGTCCTGGGTGCACTTAAAACCGATTTACAGGGTTTCCATTAACTAACTGTCTGTGCACGCGGCGCGCCTTCTGTCTTTTTCAATCTCGGAGCGGCGATTGGAAACCCGGACAGCCGCCCGCGCGGGGCTCAGTGATGGGATGGCTTTCCCAGTCCTGTCTCGCTCCCCTGGTGCTTCGGAACAGGACTGGGAAGCTTAATTTGAGCCCAGAGGGAGGGAGGGGAAAGCTGTGAAACTCAAGGGTCTTCAGAACAGGAAGCCGCTCAGCAACAAGTTCCATTCACGTGTGAAAATTTCTCACCCGGGCCGGAGCAAAACCTGGCCCCGGGCCGACGCTTCGTATTGAAGACTCTGCCCTTGAAACCCGCGGGGTCAAAGGGACGAAGAGGAATAGATTTGAGACCCAAAGACATCCCTCCACACATACTACTGGAGAGGCCACAGGGAGGACTGATATTCTGCCATGACCGTCTCCTCTTTTTACAGCCCCTGCCCCGGCACCCCACCCCTTGGCCCTGAGCAGGGAGTCTGGCACTCAGAGTTGCCAAATTGTACAAGGCGCACGGGTGGCAGCTTCGGGCCCTCCCACCGTGGCATTAGAGAAGCGCTACAGGAGCGGTTCCGCTCACACACGTCTGGGCGCTCAACACAGGCCCAGCGCCTTTTGGCCTCTTGAAGCCTAGGTTACCTCTGCGGGGTTGAGCTGCGGGGACGGGTGGGGGGACGAAGGGAACGGAGAAGCGGCGTCCGTGCAGCTGACAGCTCGCAACAGTGGAAGCAGAGGTCAGATCTCCAATGTAAACCCCTTTTCTCTGATCTGCGAATTTAACCTTCCCTCCACTAGGCGTGATAGCCTCCGAATCGCAGGGCACCCACCCCCACCCAGGCTGCCTGCAGCGAGAGCCGGCGGAAGCGAGAGAAGACCGGAGGCGGAGAATGGAGAAAAATGGGAATGGCCACCTCTGCACATTCTCCGAGCACACACGGCCCACTCGAAGGCCAGCTGGGCAGCTCGCACAAAGAGCCCACACAGTGCACAGACTTTTTCCACTTCAGACCTTCACAACCCGGACGTCTGACAAACCTCCCGCGCGTGAGCGCGTCCGGGGGATGGATAACCAGAGTCGCACAGCGCAGCGCGCGGTCAGTCAGTCACACAGCCCAGTCAGGCTTGCGGCCACATTGTCCCGGTACCAATGAGCCCCTATCTCGAACCCGTGGAGAGCCGACCCCAATACCCTGGCTAGCCCTTCACCCGCACCCCCACCCAACACGCACAGTGGGGGGAACCCAGTCCAGGCTCACGGGCGAGCGTGGGCGGGTGGCAGCCGCAAGGACAGAACCCGAGAGCAGAGAGGTCCCCCGGGACGCCGTCCCGGGACCCAGTCTGGCTGCACTGCGCCCGCAAACGCCCTGTTGCGCCCTGCGGCCTGGAACCGCCAGGAAGCCCCCAAACGACACCCCCTGTCTAGAAAAGGAAAAGGAAAACTGCTGCCTTGCACGCCATCGCAGGCTGGCTGGGGGTTGCATTTTGCCCAGATGTTTTCTGTGCGTGTGTTTTTCTTTGCGTACTCTAAAGAAAAATACTTGTGGTGGGCAGTGTTGGTGACGGGGGAACATGTTGCCCTGGGTGTGGATTTTCTTGGTTTAAAAAGAGCTCTCTCCTGTTGCTTTGGCTCGGAGCCGCACGTGCGTCTGTCAGCCCAGGAGTTGAGCAGTCATCCTCCGGGCTGCAAAGGTGGGCGCGGGCTTCCTCCTCCTAGGGCAGGAGGCCGCAGACTGGGCGGAAGAAGCGTCCGCCCCCGAGGGCGACCACACCGCTCTCTCTACCCCAGAGCAGCGCGCCGAGCACCCACATTGACCGTTCTCTCGACGCATTCTTGCTCGCATACTTAGAGTTAATGCATTTGAAAATAATCGCTGCCAAACAATACTGTAGGTAACACAAACCGCCGCTCGCAAACGTCCTCTCTCCCTCAGAAAAAAAGACCCCACGCAAAACTTCCAAGTAGGATGAGGGGAGGAGGCAGGAAGGGAGACCCGGTCGGGGAGTACACAGAGACTCATGTCCACAAGCTAATCCGTGCACACTCATTCCCCGGGAACACGAGTCCAATTCAAATGTATCCAAAGGGGCGCCTCACGGCCTCCCAGCATGACGTCTGCATTGCTTGGTCTCCTGGGACCTTTTCCCGAGACCCCCAGTATGGTAAGAGGACAGACACGGGTTAAAAATTTAGAACCCTCTTCCGTCTGCGCTTTGCTTTGTTTGGTGCGTCCAGTTCCTAATGCCCCTTAAATCCATTAAAGCTGGCAATATATTGATGGTATTCAGTGACTGAGGCAGAGCTGGTAGGATTTATTGCATTTGGTTGTTTCCTGTGGCTTTTATTCTTCAAACGGTATCCCGGAATCTCCCTCCCTTCCCACTCTCTCTCCCGCTCCCACCTCTTCTCCCTCCGAGTCCTGGGTTCCCGGCGGGTACGAACTCTCAGATTTCTTGTCCGACATCGCCATCTAGCGGTCAGCACGAACCCTGGCATCGGAGGTCAAAGTTGTAGCACGCAGAGCTGGAAAGTTGTTGACAGTAAGTCTTGGAGTGAGCAAAAATGTGTCATTCATCTATCTGATTCTCAGGACAGACTAAAAGGCCGCAGGATGAGAAAACGAGGGGAGAGGGAGGCATGGACTTTCCCCGAGCCGTTAATTAACCTATAGAAGCTCTGCCCCAAGGCTGTGAGGTTCTGGTCATTTTTCTTCCGAGAAGGGGTGGACGAGAGAAGAGGTGCTGATTTCAGGAAGTTAAGATTACAGCGCCGCCCTTAACTTCTAGAAAAAAGCAAAAGGGGCCTCTTTACTATTTTGTTTGGGGTCAACTTAGCCAGCGTTCCTGGCGACAGGTGAGACAGTTTCTAGTGTTTCCATTATAAGTTCTGGCTGATTTACCTCGTGGGGAGGAAAGGGGGGACCTGGGCTGAACGTACACTGATTGTCCCGCTCTTAGGCGGCCGTGGGCCGTCTCCAGAGTGGGCTATAAAGGTCTTGAGTGAAGAAAGTCCTCACAAGCCCCCTGAGGTTAAGGTGAAGAGAGGAGGGAGTGCTCCACCTTGTCTGATTCTCAGAGGCAGCGAGGCAGCCTAACCAGCGAGAGAAAGAAACAGCCCGTCTGAATCCTCTCCCTTCGATCCCTGTGGGCAATTCAAGTCAACACACATTTAATCAGCACCATCTGTGTACCTGTACAGGGCCAAGTTCAGAAAGGCCAATATAAAGATAATTAAGGCAAGGCCTTGCCTCGAAACTGATGAGTTGGGTAAGGGACACAAAGAATAATTATGATTTGCAATGATGAACATGCTAATAATATTGATTTGATCATCACATACTGGACACAAATACTGATAGTCAACTCTGTACCCCATAAATATATATAAATAAAGAGAAAAAAAAAACCTGACAAGTAACACCTGGGACACTTAAGTCAACTTCATAGGGCACACTTAAATCTCCCAAGTGATTATGCCCACAGAATCCTTTAGCAATAAAAGTGAGAAGCAGCAGACAACCACCTTCCCAGCCCTACCAAAGCTTAGGAATCCTGAGACCAATGGCATCCTTAAAGGAAGGAAGAGGAAACACGTTGCACTCCTTCTGCCTTCTTGGCAGGTTCTGCTTCTTCACAAATGACTTTTTCTTTCCTTTTTTTTTTGTCCTTTTTTTTTTTGAGACAGGCCGCACCACGCTCAGCCAGTGAGCGCTGTGAGCGCACCGGTCATCCCTATATAGGACCCAAACCCGCGGCAGGAGCCCTGCTGCGCTCCCAGCACCGCACTCTCCCGAGTGCGCCACGGGCTCGGCCCACAAATGACTTTTTCAATGAAGCCCAAAGGCTTCGTACATAGTTC